GGCTGCCCGTCGCCTCTGCGGCCCCCTCCGCGCTGCCCTTTAAACCCGATCAACCGGCTGTCTCAGCCCCGACGGGAGGGGTTTGCGCTTAGTCCTTTGATTCCGTGTGGCTTGGTTTTTCCAGGAGATAAACTTCCCTCGGCCGAGTCTGCAAGATTGAGAGGAGCTGGGCGATTAGAAGTCGGCTCGCTGTGAAGGTGAGAATTAGCAGTTTCTGCGCTCCTGTGTTTTCTTTGATGTGGCAGAACTGCTTTCAGTGGGCCGGCCCTGCGGGGAGTGAGTCAGGAGCATTTCCAACAATAAATTGCAACTGCCTTCTTATTTCTTTCAGTACAGCGTCTGCTCTCCAAGAGACTGTGTGTGTTTTGCCTAAAAATTATTGTAGTTCATGAAAGCAGCTTAAAAAATGGCTAAAAAAAATTGGGGTTGATGAAAATAATATTAGACAGGGTGAGCAGCTCTTTTTTCTTAAACTACTCTGCATTAGTCCAGGTTTATTTTCTGGAATTACACAGTGTGTCAGAAGATTGGAATTCGGCTGTTTTCAAACAAAATGAACTGGCCTGTGGGAAAGTCCTTCCTTCTGAAGTTGGGGTTTGGGTGGAGACAAAATCCAAGGGGCAAGGGTAGGCAAGTGAATCCAGTGGGGCTTAAAGCCCACCTCATGGCATTCAAATCTAAAAGAAATAAAATAATGTCGTTCATGGTAGTAAGCCAGGGTCTACAATACAGCTTCCGCTGTTTAGTTAAAAGGTGGTAAAATTTTAGTTAACTAATGTGAGGAAACCTGAAATATTTCAGTTATACATTATGAATATAGAAAGATTACTGCTCAAAACATTTACTTCAACTGAGAAGACAATAATTAACTAAAAAATACTATCACTCAATGTTGAAATTTTAAATAAGGTGCATGACCTTCTATTAATTGTATTTGCCATCAAGGAAAAATAGCCAAGTAATAACTCTTTTATAATACTGTATGGCCATGGAAATGTAGTGTTAACACTAAGATAAGTTTACTGCCTCTTTTTTGTTTTGTTTTGAGTTAAATATAAGAACAGATGTGACTGTGGGATCAGCATGACTGAATCATATACCTTAAGTTATATTGTAAATTATACTTGAAATTACAAATGGGAAGTAATTGACTCATCCACACGAGTTTGCTCATTTCTTTCACTCTAATTGAGCTCAGATGGTTCTCTAGTAACAGTCGAGGGAACCTCCTAAACACTAATAAGCAGGATTTTAGAATTGCAAATTTGGGAAGTGAAAATGGGCCTGGGGATAGAAATACATCCTGGTTTGTCACAAGAAACTGAGGCTTACCATCTGTTAGTCATTTCATTTTTTAATTTGAAGGCCAAATTACTTGAAATCAGCTTTTCAAGAGAGACTGTTTACAGGCCTCTTACCTAATAATTTTTTGAATCAGTTCTTCTGACTTTTGCGGTCCTCAGCTATAAATTCGGGGGAATAAAAGCAATTTGCAGTTGTGTTGCTGGGGGGAAAATGTTTCCCTTAGAGCATTATGAAAGGGAACAGATACTTTGGCAGGTCAGGCTTCCTCTGCTTCTCAGAGATCACGCATAGGACATGGCCTTCCTTTAAGCCTCATAGTCTTGCGTCTTCCAAAGGATACACCCCTGCCCTTCTGGGGATCAGATGGATTTGTATTTGCCTCCCCCACACCCTGTTCCTGCAAGTGACACCTCTTCCTTGAGCAGTTCTGCTTTTCTATGCCACGCACTGGCAGCTTACCTTTGTCCATGAAAAGCCAGAAGAGCAGTACTGGAGTTGGGTTACTGAGGAAGAGGACAGGGACATGCTTGGGTCCTGAGCAATGACCTTGTATATACAAATTTCTCTAATTGAGAAATCACTTTCATATTTAGCTCCACATCCTCAGTATTTAATGTTGCCTCTAGGAAAACATAGCTCCACCAGGAATTCTTCGTCTTTCACTCTTGGACTTAAAAGTTCTTTAAACCTAAGTCACAAGAACTTGTCTCATCTTCTCAAGGGTAGTTATTTTAACCGAACAGCCTCTTAAAAGAGGGGAAATACTAGCTCTCCTCATGTTGCTCATCTTGAGGGCCCCGGAAAATGAGGAGTTGCATAGAAGTGTTCAAATAGCATGATATTGTGGAAATAATCGTGTTTTATAAGACAAACCAATAGTTATGAGCAATGATTACATTATCGAGGGACTTGTACAGCGGCAGGCTCCCCGATGCTCTAGCTGCGTCGCCTTGGGGAAGCTACTTCTCTTTTGTCAAAGTAAAATAGGAAAATAATTTCCATCTTTCAGGGTTGTGAGGGCTAACTCAAACCGCTCATGAAGCATGTGACACGATGCTTTATGCAGAGAACGTGCTCAGTTCTAATGGTAAATGTGTTATTACCTTGTCATGCAATCATGCTATTATAAATTATTCTTGTAGTAGTCACCAAATGTTTAAATTTTTTTAATACTATTGTGACCGTGCAGAAACTTCATTTCTTTAATATGATCTTCTCTCCTTTCTTTCCTTTTACTTCACAAACTGGCCTCATCCAGCACCTTGACTCACCTGCCTACTTCTTCCTTGCATGTCTACTCCCTTAATTATTAAGCCCTTAGGACAATGAGGTTCTGGTCAGCATCAAATAATCTTAGAACAAATCCTCAGGTCTTTTCACCACAGAGACAGAGTTTCAATTAAACTAAAGTTGACATCTAGACCTCAGTTATGTTTCAGCTCCATACCCAGAAAAACAGTAAAACCATATGAAGCTATGCCATGGCTGACATCAGGACCAGATGCACTGATCAACTTACTCCCTACCCTAGTGCCAACCAATCAGCAGAGATCACTACCCTAACTCCCTTAGTCACCATGATCAATGATTTTTCCTCTATATAACCCATCCCCTGAAAGCCATCAGGGTGCCAGGTCTTTGAGCATTAGCTCACCTGTGACTCCAGGCGTGGGCCACCCTCATCTAATAAACCCTTACTTTCTTGACTGCACACTCCTGTCATTCCTATTGGCCTCTGATGTGCACAGGCAAACGGACCCCTTTAGTCCAGTAACACTATAATGAAATTAAATGACAAGATATGTGTCTTAACTTTTTTTTTTTCTTTTTAAAGGTTTATTGAAGTCAAAATGTCTCAAAAAATTCGTGGCGGTTCTGTGGTAGAGATGCAAGGAGATGAAATGACACGAATCATTTGGGAGTTGATTAAAGAAAAACTCATTTTTCCATATGTGGAACTGGACCTGCACAGGTAAATGAGTTACAGTCATGTGCAGCTTAGCGACAGGGATGCATTCTGAGAAATCTGTGGTTAGGCAGTTTTGTCGTTGCTCAAAACATCCTCGAGTGCACTTAGCAAACCTAGATGGTGTAGCCCATGGCACACCTGGGCTCTATGATACAGCCTATTGTTCTGTAGGGGAGGAAAAATAATTTTCCCTCGTACCTTTCTGGGTTCTTGGCCGAGACACCCCTGTAATAAAGACAAGTTAAAGGAAAAACAAGCAAAAGTCTAATAATATGTATACTTTCTGTGTACGTGGGAGAGACTCAGGACAACTGAGTAACTCTCCAAAATGGCTGAAGCCACCACCTGAAATACTGTCTTTGACTGAAGACAAAAGATGTCAGGGGGAGTCAGGGGGGTCAGTTACAGGAGATTATCAGGAAAAGCAGTAAACAAGGGTCAGGTGTTAGGCTATTTAAGTCTTCCTCTCCTGCATTCATGAGTCTGGAGGTGAGGTCATCCCCCTCTTTCTGGTACAGCAAGGAGACACCCTCAATAAATGGAGAGTTCCCTGCAAATGTAAATGTATTTTACAAGGGGTAACTTCTACTCGACTTTTAGAGCTTCTCCCATGTCTGATTCTTGAAATCAACCAGCCTAAAATAATCCTTATGCCAAAGAGACATATTTTGGAGTGACAAACTCTGTTCCCCTGCTGCTCCTCGGCTGCCCACTTATACTAACTACTATAAGCAGTTGTAACAATGTTAAGTATGTGTGTTGCACTACGTTACGACTGCTATGACATCATTAGGTGATAGAGATTTTGCAGCTCCATAATAATTTTATGGGACCACTATTGTATATGTGGCTCATGACTGTTCCTCCACATAGCAAACTCAGCAAGTATCATCTAAGTGATTTCAGCATGTAGCCAACTTTTTTACATAGATACAGCTGTGTCTTTTGGATAAAGCTCTTGGGGGAGAGTGCCTGAATATATGCAAATCAATCTTCTGTTTTAAATTTGGCATTGCTAGATAAATGACTTAATTGTTCAGAAGACAAGTATCATGGAGACGTGATTCTCAGGTCTTTCCAAATCTCTGTTTCCTATGAGGTTTGATTTGTAATAATACTCAGGGGCCAAGAGTAGCACAACATTGCCCTGGCTGGTTTGGCTGTGTGGTTAGAGCGTCAGCCTGAGGCCTGAAGGGTCCTGGGTTTGCTTCCACCCAAGGGCACCCACCTCAGTTGCAGGCTCAATCCCTGGCCCCAGTTGGGGCATGTGTGGGGAGACAACCAATCAATGTGTGTCTCTCACATCAATGTTTCTCTCTCTCTCTCTCTCTCTGAAAAGCAATGGGAAAAATATCCTTGGGTAAGGATTAAAAAAAGAAAAGAAAGAGAAGCACAAAGTATTGTTTGTAGAACAGGAAATAATGGAGGTGCATCCTGTTAAACTGAATGAAGTTGGCACAATCTTGTCCTCTCTGGCTCTGTTTTCTATCCCTCTGCTTAACTAGCCAATAGACCTTTTCCCCTTTTTAGTCCTTGCCTTTTGCCCTTTTCATACAATTGTAATATGAAAAGAACCCTTGAAGTAGTTTTAATAAAACTACTGACCATTCAGAAGTTCCCTTAAACCACTTGTGTCCTAAAGACTTGAGCCTTTGCCCTGTGTTTAAAGTGTTCAGAGACAGATATGAAAGTCTCTCTGGAATTCTCTCATTTTTTTACCTGTGTTTTCCATAAACTTGATCATGCTTTTTGAACATTTGAACTAGGTAGAGATAGAATTTTTACAAGGGTGAAGTGGCTGAAGACTGTCACATTTTCGCCAAATTAGTGGCAACTGGAAGCGTGTTTGCCTTGACCCAGAATTATTCATCAGACTGTGTCCTGAGGACTGTATATTTGCTGGGGTGTAGGCATTTAATTTATGTGGTGTCATTAGGCACCCTTTTTAATTCTAAGCCTAAGATGTTGATAATATCTTATTGCAACCACATGGAGTAGTAAATACCTGCAGAGGTCAACAAAACATACGGTAAATGAAGCATAAAAGCGTCGTCCAATTAGGGTAAAGAAGCACGTTTACCAGCACACTCCTGTTTCAGAGCTTTACAAGGCAGTAGGTGAGTTTGCAGAGTTCTTGCCAGTAGAATAGCTACAAAGATGCTTTCTTTGACCCTCCTTAGCCTAGAGACATTAGTAGTTTTAAAGGATAGTTCTTGGGCCTAGAAAAAAAACTGTCACTGGCTATAGACCAAAGAATTTTTGGAGGCTCAAACGAGTTTTATGTTATCATAAAATTGCTATTATTACATGACTAGTTCTTTTTTGGGGGGAGTGGAGCAGTTCATTTGTTTTGTTTCCCGCAGGCTGGACAGTAGTCCAGGCCATTTATTCTTTCTTTTTTCTTAGAAATGTTAAGAAGAGAAGCAAAAAAATCCACAAACTTATTGCTAGTCTCTCCTGATGAAAAATGGTTGCTGTGAACCTGAAAACTGCTGACCACACTTGTTTGAGTTGGGAGTAGAGGTTTGCTGAATTGTTTACATATATTCAGCACTTCCTGTTCTAGCAGATAAGAGAGTCAGTGCTTTATTACACTTATGTGAATTAGCTAAGCTCAGAGCAGTCTGGAATTCTTTTTTTTTGGAAATACATGAAGATTGCTACCTTGCATTTACATCATGAGTTGGGATATCTAAGGAAAGGAATACAAGAATTAAAAAGAAATCTAGAGGCTTCATGGTTCAGCAAGTTATGAAAGCTGAAAAACTTTAAGAACTTGGAGAACAAAATAGTCACATTGCTGTTTTGTTTTTTTCTGTTTTCAACAAATTATTTCATACTTTAGATAAAGCTTTACAATCGTTGTATGTGCTCTGTGAACAACCAACATTCTTTTCAGCTCTGAATACCTTGCAGTGTGGGTGTTGATGTATATTCAACTCTTGCTCTCTGGGGTATATAAAACTGTTGCTTGATTCCATGACTTGCCCAATAAACTGCAGGCTTGTGTCCAGAACAGAGAGACTTGCCCAAGAATAAGGGAAGGGTTCATCATATAACCATCTGACATTAATGAAGGATGCATTAGCGTTTTTGGCACTGAATGTCACATCTATGACTCCCACTACTTAATGTCAGAATATAAGAAAAAAAATTTTAAACCCTCTGACCCCTTTATGTTTAGAGCACAATATTTAACTAAGGAAAAAATAAGGTGGTGCTTAGGCTCCCATTTTTATGTTGATTATATGGAAGTCTGCCAAAGGGTTGCTCTGGTGCATTGCCTCTATATAGTGAAAGTAGGCAAAGGGGCAGAGCACGATGGTTTCCATTCAGTTTCCTTCCAGACAGCTTCTCACTGCAGCCCAGGGAGCCATTGCCCCGCAATCCAGCCTCTCAGTGCCTTTTTGGTTGGCACCATCTTCTGTGTCTAGGGTGCATTAATGCTGAAACTTGGCAGATGTGGGTATATTAAGAGCCTTCACTTTCCGCAGGGCAAGCTCTGCATGCCCTCACCATGCAGAGATAGACAGAATGGTAGCAGCCTTAGTCACCCATCAGTTTGTCTGGAAAGTTCTGTTTATGATTTTTCCTTCCCAGCTATGATTTAGGCATCGAGAATCGTGATGCCACCAATGACCAGGTCACCAAGGATGCCGCAGAAGCTATAAAGAAGTACAACGTCGGTATCAAGTGTGCCACCATCACCCCTGATGAGAAGAGGGTTGAGGAGTTCAAGTTGAAACAGATGTGGAAGTCACCAAATGGCACCATCCGAAATATTCTGGGTGGCACTGTCTTCAGGGAAGCTATTATCTGCAAAAATATCCCCCGGCTCGTGAGCGGGTGGGTAAAGCCCATCATCATAGGTCGTCATGCGTATGGGGACCAGGTAAGTCGTGTTGGCCTAGTTTGATTTTCATTCATTCTTCATGGCCTGTGGCTGCCCAGCAGTTCTGTTTACATGTGTTTTATTCTTATCTTTTGGTGGCGACTTCCATTAAACAAAGTACACAATTGAGAAATGCATATATGTATATCTGTGTCTTTACACATTTAGATAGAAGTGGATACAGAAAAACTCACAGATGGGCACCCTTCTCAACACAAATGATTTTCGTCAGGTGTGTTTTTTTAAATTCTTTTATCTTTTTATTAAGTTAAAACACACAGTATTGACATTTTTGTGTGGATAATTTCCTGTCTTCAATCAAATCAGTAGTTCTCAACCCTGGCTCTAAAAAGACCCCTTTATAGGTTTTTTTGGTGTTTGTTTTATTTTGCCATTTTAATGTGTTGCTTTGTTTTAACTCCAATGCTTGAGACCCACCTCACACCAGCTGAATGTGAATTCCATGGAATTCAGGCGTTTTAAGCTCCCCGAGAGATTCTAATGTGCGGGCAGGGTTGAGCACCACCAAAGATTATGTGAAACGGGATCACTTCATACATAAAAGGAAAAACTGGCTCAGTAGTTGAAAGCAGTCGCTTTAAGACAGTTCTTTCCTACCTGGAACAGAAAGTTTAGTTTCTTTTTTTTTTTTTAATATATCTTTATTGATTAGAGAGAGAGGAAAGGGATGGGAGAGAGAGATAGAAACATCAATGATGAGAGTCATTGATCGAGCCCGCAACCGGGCATGTGCCCTGACCGGGAATCGAACCCCGATCACCTGGATCCTAGGCCGACGCTCAACCGCTGAGCCACGCCCGGCCAGGCAGAAAGTTTAGTTTCTATACTTCCGTGCAAGTAGGCTAGTTGCCAGATTACACCGAAAACCAGCCAAGTAAATGAAATCAAAATTTCATGTTGAAACGGAGGTATTCAGACTTTCATAGAAAACAGCTTATGGCTTAAAAGACCCTGAAAAACAACAAAAAAATTATACCCAGAGGCTTTGATGTATGTAGCTGTCCTTAAAAATAGTCTGGGCAGGGCAGACCACACTCTTCCTGGGGACAAGTCACCACATCAGTCCTTGAGGGGTAGTTCCCTTTGTTCTGTCCTGTGGCTCACACTGTGCCTTCATCCTGGCCAGTCCCTTTACAGGTCCCTCCCAGAGGCCCAGGAGAGGGAGTACAGGTAGGACTGCCGCAAACTCCCTAACACCATTCTAAGTTCGTTTGAGTTCAGTGGTGTCATTTTTGTCCTTTTTATGATGATGATGATGATGATGATGATGAGTATTTTGGCATCAGTGACTTGGAAGAATGATTATTCTATTTATTAAAGACCAGATTGAAAATTCCAAACCTCTGGTTAATTCTCTGGTCGTTTGAATGTGCATAAACATCTACAAAGCATGTAAGTTGCTTTGGTGCCTGTTTCTTCCTTTTGAGAACCGGGAATAAATAACCATAGTAAAGGATTTTTATGTCCTGAGTGTTCTGCATAGACTGGATATTGAACCTTCCTCAGTATCTGACAGCTCTTTTATCAGTCATTAGTGTCTGTCATTAGTGTTGCTCTACACAAACAAAGGCACGACTGGCGCCTGCGGGTACCGGACTCTGAAAGCAGTCTTCCCTAAGTCATTGAAGAAGGTACAGTGCAGCAAAGGCTTCACAGATGCCTGGTGCAGGCTGGGCACGTTTTTCCACTAGAGTAGCTCCACGGCCATGAGAGAGATGGCTCTCCTCGGATGGCCCTTTCCTAAGGGTCATCAGCCTGTGACAGCTGCTTCCAGAATGGTTGCTTCATATGGACAAATCCTGGACCGGGCATTGGTAGTAATGATAATCATGAAGAGACTAAGCTCTGAAGGTTGAAGGACCAGATCCCAAGTCTTTTGACCCTAGATGCATTATTTTCACAACATCACAGTCCCTTCCTTGTAAGATTGATATGGGAATCAAATGAGATAGTAAGGTGATACTTGTTAATAGCTTAAAGCGTCTGTCTTATAGTGAGGACAAGGTATTAGCTCTTTCTTTATCATCTTCAATACTACAGCTAGTATATTATCACCCCCTGCAGGAAGGCTTCCCTGCCCTCCAGGTCATGCCATTTCTTCTGCTGTGCTATAGCATTGTTTATCTATGTCCACTCCAGATGTTTGAAAGCTCTTCTGTTGCTTTTCACTTCTGTATGTCTTTCTTAGGTCTAAGTTTCCTAAGGGAAAATACTTTGTTAAATCTCTCTCTTCTCCATACCAGGTGCTCAGAAAACTGCCTTGTGTGTGGTAGGCACCCAGTAAATACCGATTTCTAACGTGCGCTACCACTAATTAGCTTTGGGGACTCTCTGGACCTCTTCATCCCTATTTCTAGAATAAAAGAAGGTTGAGCTGCACTGCCCTGTTTGTCTAGGCGTCTTTCAGCTCTGTTCTATGGTTTCCCCCCACCATTCTTTGTAATACCTGTTGGAATAGTTGTTTTTTTAATATATTTTTTCCCCCTATACAGTACAGAGCAACTGATTTTGTTGTTCCTGGGCCTGGAAAAGTAGAGATAACCTACACACCAAGTGATGGATCCCAAACAAAGACATACCTGGTACATAACTTTGAAGGTATGTAATTAAGTTCATCGTGATCATTTTTTTACAGATCATTTAGACAGCATTATTCCTGGTTATTTGAAGTTAGTTGTGTGACTACCTAAAAGTACAGCCTGAATTTACAACATTACTACGGGACTTAAAATCTAAATGAAACGGTAATTGGCTTCCATGCCTTCCTGTGGCATGGAAAAGGGCACAAAAGGGATTAGCCACTTAACTGGAAATGCACATAGGCAAAGGCAGGTTGATAAATAGGCATTTCTCTAAAAACACGAAGGGAAGGTTGGCTGGAGTCTGTTGTGCAGGAATTATATAAATTAAACCTTAATAGCTCCAAATCACCTATCGTGTAATCCTGCCCTTTGCTCTGGTAGGGTTTGTGTTTAAAAATGGTTGTGTTATATATTTGCTGGAATGTTCCTCTTGCCCGTCTGAGTGTTTATTCTGTGGAAAGAGAACATTTGTTTTTTGCCTTGCCTTGCCCACCATTCTTCTTCAGAAGGCCCATTGTGGAAAATTCCACTCCAAAAGAGGACCCTCTTCCTCCACTAAAGTTATTAAAAGGGGACAGCTGTTATACTTTCAGCAATAAAGATAAATTTAAAAAAAAAAGGACACAAAAACTCAAAAGTTACCTAGCTTTTGTTTTCCTTGTCTCCTCTAAATAATGTCATTTTTAATTGACTTCATTGGGGTGACATTGGTTAATAAAGTATACAGATTTCAGGTGTACAGTTCTACAGTTCATTATCTGTCTATTGTATTATGTGTTTACCACCCCAGGTCAAGTCTCCTTCCATCACCATTTATCTTACCCCCTTTTACTTTCTTCTGCCTCCCCCACCCCCTTCTGGCGGTCACCATACTGTAGTCTGTGTCCGTGAGTTTTCTTTTTTTTCTTTCCTTAATCCCTTCGCCCTTCTCACCCAGCCCCAACCCCCTCCCCCTCACAGCTGTCAGTCTGTTCTCTGTGTTCATGAGTCATCATTTTAATGCAAGTTAATTCTGCCCGTTTCAGCACCTTTCACATTCTGAGCCCAAGTTGGCCCTGGACAGTGGCATGGATTCAGGCTCTATCTTTCAGCAGTAACAGAGTTCAGAGTTGTGAAACACCAGTGATTACACACGCAGCGTTTTTTTACCAATGACAGTGTGAACTCTTTGTATCCTCCGGGGAATTATGAGAATTTTCATTCTCTGGCTGAGGATTGAGTGTACAGTTAGAGTTTAAAATAAATGTTTGGAAAATTTAAGAGTATGAAAAGATAGTTTCAAAGTTATTCACCCTTTTTGAGTTTAGTTCTGGTTCATATCAGTAGTTTTTGGTAGTCAGTATCTTTAGGATCCTAAAAAACATGTTTTTCTCATATCTACTCCCCTTTCAAAACAAGTTAAAATGTCCTTAACCAGAACTGGCTTTCCTCCTATTATGTGCCTCAGGAACTCATGGAATATTTAAGTTGGAAGCCTGGCTGGGACCTTTTTTGAAGCCTGGGCTTAGCCATTGGAGCTGGGAATTGGGTGGTTTGGTGGTAGTGGATGGATTTAAACCTGTTACAACTATACCCCACTTACCTTTCTCTTTTTTTTCTCTCCTTGGTGTCCCCCCACAGACGGTGGTGGTGTTGCCATGGGGATGTACAATCAAGATAAGTCCATCAAAGATTTCGCACACAGTTCTTTCCAGATGGCTCTGTCTAAGAGTTGGCCTTTGTATCTGAGCACCAAAAATACTATTCTGAAGAAATATGATGGGCGATTTAAAGACATCTTTCAGGAGATATATGACAAGTAATTATGGTCCTTTTTTCCTTCTTTTTGCTCAAGCTGGCATCTGTAGTAGAGAAATTGCACCCTTACCCCTTTGGATCTGGGACAAATTGAGTGGAAGCCATCACTATCCCTTAAAGACAAGAGCAAAACAGATTTAATAGGAGTGAAACAAAAATCATTCTAAGTAGCTTTTTGAAGGTAAATGTGACCTCAAGTATGGGTCACGCATTTATTTTTTTCAGAGCCAAAGTTATGTATTGTTCGAAGAAAGATGCCCTGTTAGTAAGGGAAAGTTCTAATTTTTCAAACATGAGTTTCTGAGTTGGGTCCATTTCTATTCTTTCTGAAACCCATTGTTGTGATTTAAAACTCTGCTTTAGTATAGTTTCTTGAGCTGAAGTTTACATTTATAACAACTGGATTCAGCAACATGTGAGCATGTGTTAAATTTCAGTTTTTTATTTTTTAATTATCTTTTATTGATTTTAGAAAGAGAGGCAGGGAGAGGGAGAAAGAGAGAGAGAAACATCAATTGACTGCCTCCTGCACACCCCCTACCAGGGATCGAGCCTGAAACCAGGGCGTGTGACCTGAGCCCTGACTGGAAATCAAACTGGTAATGTTTTGGGGCACAGGATGACGCCCAACTAACTGAGCCACACCAGCCAGGGCATCATGTGTTAAACTTTTAGCACAGCCTGACACCCTTTTAGGTGCAAGTGTTTGGGCCAGGGGACAGATTTTAGATCTCCTCCTTGAGGCATTTTAATTCCTCTTCCCGCTCCCCATCCATTCTAGGCCTGGAAGCTGTCCTAGTTCCCTTGATATCAGGCGGTAGAATAGTCTTTTTCCCCCTTACTGCATCCTTAAGGTAAACTGAATCTCAGGAATCTGATGAGTAGTGTATTAAAAACTGTAAAAGTAGTACTTGGGATACTACTGTTTTGCTCAATTCTCACTTCTCTCCAGAGTGGGTTTCACAGCTAGAAAATAACTGGGCAGGGATTTGAGCCCATGTGTCAGATTCCCAAATTTGTGCTGCTTCTACTAAAAATGCTGCTTCCAGCCCACCCCTCAGCCCCCCTTTGGAGAGTATATGATGTCCCTAACAAAACCAATTTTCCTCTCTTTTTGTTCTTTTCCCTCTTCTTTCTTAGGCAGTACAAATCCCAATTTGAGGCCCAGAAGATCTGGTATGAGCACAGGCTCATCGATGACATGGTGGCCCAAGCTATGAAGTCAGAGGGAGGCTTCATCTGGGCCTGTAAAAACTACGATGGCGACGTACAGTCAGACTCCGTGGCCCAAGGTAAGGAGCCCTTTGTAAAAACCATGAAATGTTAGTGCTGCAAGGCATCCAGGCCCATCTTCTCAGCTGATGGGTGAGGGAGTTAAGCACCAACTGGGGACGCTACTCCTCAGGGTCACGCAGGAAGGAACTCAGTGTCTGAGACTCTTGGCTCGAGCCTTGGATGTGTTAACACAGTTTATCTCTCAACCTTTTCCCCTCTTGAGGTTTCAGTGCCTCCAACAGGCAGCCTAACTGCCCGATCTGAAAATCAGTCCCTTTCCTGCCTTTTATTCCCCTCCCAGAATGTGAAAACTAGGTCACTCGGCAAGGAAGGGGTAAAATGAGCAGCCTGCATTGTCTAAGGACCAAGGGGACTCTCCAAGAACTCCTACCTTTTTCTTTTTTTCTTTTTTTTTTTTTGGTAACAATTCTAAATGTTTATTCCTCTGATAACCTAGCTGATAACCTAGCCTTAAGGTACATGAAGCTGGAAGCTGGAAGGGGATTTTGAAATCTCTTACCTAGTCCAACTGTGTTTGTCTTTCTTTTTCTATTTCCCTCCCTGCCTCCCATTTTATTTCTTCCTCTCCTTTATTCCCGGTCTTCTCCTCCTCTCATAAATGAAGAAACTGAGGCCAGAGGTGAAGTAGTTGTAGAGGAATACATCCAGTGAGAAACAGAGCTGGGAATGAGATCCGGGTCTTCCAGCTGCTTATCTGGAACCCTTCCCGTGCACTGCCCTTTACTGAGCTTGAACAATCATTGTCTTAATACAATAGCAACTTTCAAGAGAAGGTATTAATGAAGCGTAAATGAACAGACCGCTAGCTGGAAAACACGCCAGACAAGATTCCTCATTTCTCGACAGTTGATTGGCATCAGCTAGCACAGCAGCCAAACAAAAGGTTGAAAAGAAATCCAAGACCTCGTTCATCGGCAACAGGAACTACTTACTCATGCCCTTCCTGCCAGCCGTGAAGCCTCTCTGGTACTGTAGGAAACACGTGTTCACTGCTTAGCTTTAAACACACAGGAATGGAGCAGAGAAGCCCGGGGCTGTTCAGAGAAATTCAGAAACCGGGGGCTGCATGTCCAGTGTAATCAACAGGAATTCTCCTTCCCTGGATTTCCTCAGCACCAAGTTGCCCTTCAGTTTCAGTCACCAAGGCAGCTATGTCAACTTGAAACTCCCAGTGAATGTTTGTGTCAACTTTAATTGTTTGCTTTTCCCAGGAAGTACTACTTTTTCTTTCTCTTATGAAAAAGTTAAACATCTCTTATCAGTTTTAAAATCACTAGGTCAACCCAGTTGAAGATCACTTTGATGTTAGATGAATGAGTACACACTCTTTGCTCTCCTGTTGCTCTAAATTCTCACGATGCAGCAGCAGGAGTGTTGCTTTGTGATAACCCCATGGTGGGTAAGGGAAGTGTCCTTGTAATCAGAGTTCTAGATAAGGGACCCAAATCTTTCCATCATTTCTAAAAATGCCCTCATGGCAACAAGGAGAGTATTCGGAGTGATATTTCAAATGTAAATATCAAGTTATAGAGGTTCAAAGGACTTTGAAATAGGAGTTCTGAAGGGTAGTGTCTAGTAGTAGCACACTGATAAGACACCTGGAGCCAAGGCTGTCTGGGCAGAGCCTGTAGATAAGTGTGACCTCAAGACAGCTGAACAGATTAAAAGGCAGCTGAGCCGTCTTCATGTTATTCTTCGGAGGCATGAACTACTTTGGACTCGCACCAAACATTTCACGTATGGCTTCTATTTTGACAGTGGTACCAGCTAGTGTCCTCTAGCATTAATACATAGACAAACTCACCGTGGAGAGTGAAGTATCCTGCACTCCCCCAATCAATAAATATTTGAGAATTTGCTAAAGCCTCAGACCAACACAATGATATGAAAGGAACTCGTAACCCCACCCAGAGATTAATAACTGTATCAAAGATGAGTTTTAAAAATTGTTTATGTTTATTTACTTACTCTCAGACTAAAAAAATTAAGTACCAGCCCGTTATAAATTTGCATTAACCACAGGTGCTTTTGGAGAAATGTGTTCTTTGACATCAAGTATAAAAGAGTAATAAAGAAGAAAAATCGATTGGGTGGACTTAAAAGGTGTAATGGTTCCCTGAATAGGAAACCACAGGGTAGAATTCTTTTGGTGGGGCTGTCAAAGGGCAAGTGGGGTGTTCTTGGGTCCATCCCACCCTGTCTTTACTTGCCTTTTCTTACCAGGCCCACTGATGGCAGAAGACAATTTATTAGTCTTTGTTGTCCCAGGACAGTGAAGCTTCTGCACATAAGAATAACAGTAATGCGCTGAACTCTTACTCTGTGGCAGGTGCTGTTCTAAGGAAAAAAATAAACTTCACATGCTTACTCATGAATATTACGTGTATTCATCTAATTCTCACAACACACCGATTAAGTAGGTGTTTTATTATTCCCATTTCATAGGTGAGAAAACGGAGCCACAGTAGCTAGAAAGTCACAGAACTAGGGTGGAATGCAGGCAGGCAGACCCTGAGCCCTCATCAGGGAGCAGGTGCTCGGAGATCAGGAGGCGAAGAGGAAGGATTATTGGTGTGTGTTTGGTTTCCCGTGACCTGTGAAGATTAAGTCATTTGCTCTCATCCCTGAGAGCCCCGTGCCCTGAAGCCAGTACTTTGTGCTCTGCCACTTACAGGTTATGGCTCTCTCGGCTTGATGACCAGCGTGCTGATTTGTCCAGATGGGAAGACGGTAGAAGCAGAGGCTGCCCATGGGACTGTAACACGTCACTACCGCATGCACCAGAAGGGACAGGAGACATCTACCAATCCCATTGGTAAGATAGTGTTTGACTGCCACGCTGATGTCCGGATCTCAAAAAGGGACTCAGACGTGTTCCTTTAGCTACCAGTTGCTTTGGGTATAAAATTCCCACCGCACAGCTGATTTGTTCCACTAATAAGAGCTGTTTTAATGTGCTCCTTAAAATACACACAATATATGCTTTTCCTTTTGGAGGGACAGTACACACTACAGAGGAGAATGTTGTCAACAGTGTTTTCCTTTTCCTCTGGTGCAGTGAAATGTCACATGTGGCTGAGAATCTAAGTGCCACATGAATAGATCCTTCTAACCTGGCTTCAAGGACAGCACATTAAAAAGAAGTTACAGCCCAGCTGGGCGTGGCTCAGCGGTTGAGCATCGACCTAGGATCCAGGAGATCTCAGTTCCATTCCCAGTCAGGGCACATGCCCAGGCTGTGGGCTCGATCCCCGGTTGGGGGTGTGTGAGAGGCAGCCGATCGGTTACGACTCTCTCATCACTGACGTTTCTCTCTCTCCCTCCCCCTCTCCCTTCCTCTCTCTGAAATCAATAGAGATATATTTTTTTTAAAAGAGAGATTACAGCCCCTCCAGGTGGCTCAGTTGCTTAGAGCTTCGTTCCACAAGGTTGTAGGTTCCGTCCCNCCCTCTCCCTTCCTCTCTCTGAAATCAATAGAGATATATTTTTTTTAAAAGAGAGATTACAGCCCCTCCAGGTGGCTCAGTTGCTTAGAGCTTCGTTCCACAAGGTTGTAGGTTCCATCCCTGGTTGGGACTCGAACGGGAGGCAACCAATCGATGCTTCGCTCTCACAGTGATGTTTCTCTCTCTCTCTTTCTCCGCCTTCCTCTCTCTCAACATATCCTCAGGTGAGGATAAAAAGAGAGAGGGAGCGATTACAGCCTGAAAAGAGGAGGGGAAACCAAAATAGACAAGAGGTAGAAGAGATTGTGGCCTCTTACAAATTAGTAAATGCCTTAGGCTTCAAGTGCTTCTTCCACACCATGAAAATGTGCTTCCTTCCAGCTCTAACAAAACCCAAAACATTCCTTCTAAAAAAATAAAGATTTAAAAGGTTTCTATTCAGTGAAATATTCCCAACTCTCCTAAAATTTAGAGTGCATGTGGGTAGTACCTGATGAAGTCAGTCACCTAAATAAAAACTGTTCTATTTTGAGGAACTGAAACATTTGGGGATATGTCTAGCTGGTGTGATTGAAGTGTGTGTGTTTTTTCCCTCTCTCTCTCTCAGCTTCCATTTTTGCCTGGACCAGAGGGTTAGCCCACAGAGCTAAGCTTGATAACAACAAGGAGCTCGGCTTCTTTGCAAAGGCTTTGGAAGACGTCTGTATTGAGACCATCGAGGCTGGCTTCATGACCAAGGACTTGGCTGCTTGTATTAAAGGTTTACCCAAGTAAGTGTAAGACACCGTGGGCTCTATGGTCAAATTACCACTTATCCTCACTGGGCTCAAGCATCAGTACTTTCTGGAAGTATATGAATTTTTTATTCTTCATCTAGCTCAAGGGTCAGCAGACACAATCTTTGAATTGTCAGATAATAAACATTCCAGGCTTTGTGCAATATACAACCTTTTCAAAACTAAGCAGCTATTGAACTTTGTCTCTGTGGCCTGGGAGCAGTCGTAGATGATTAGCTTCTAGAATGGGTGCAGCAGCTTTTCAATCAAACTGAACAAAACTAGGCTGCAGCCTGGATTGGGTCCATGGAACAGTGTAGTCTGCTGACCCCTGATCTAGTTGACAATCAATGGGTGACAAGGTTCCATTTAAGTTAGCAAGAAAATTATAGACAGAAACAAAGGGGCCCCCAAGGCTATTCTACCCCTCTATTTTTTTCATTTTACAGATAAGTAAGCAGCCCAAATATTAGATGCCAAATTGGTCATAGTCCCTTCCTTAAGTATCTGTAATCAGCAATCAGATAGTCAAGGGCCCACATATTGCCCAGGATTTGTCTAAGAACATGGTAACCCCTTATCCCAGCAGGATTAGCTGCTAATCTGAGATTCCACCCTCAAAGTCAGAGTTGTTTACTCTCATTCACCTCCTGAAACACTAGTGAAGTTTAACACCAATCTCATGTCCCAGTTGTGTCTTCAGAGATCTCAGTTAGGGTCAGTATATCCCAGGATATACTCAGTCACCATATCTTTCTTAAACTCCTTGCTGACTGGCTATTTCAAGCTAGAACTCGTGCATGCGACCGGCTACTTTGGTCAGCAAGGTGTTTAAAATTACTTAAATTAATGTAAGTGAAGACACGAGTTATCTAGTGACTGGTCATCAAGGTGTTAAAGTTCCAGCAAAAATACAGTGCTTGAAATGTCCTTCTTGGTGTGATACTTGTGTAGCCAATTTGAATAGGCACTTAGCGGCAGGATGCTAGCCAGCCCGTTGTCTTTTTTTGTTTTTAAGTAAGACACTTAAAGAAATAAGCACATTAAAACTTTTTTGGGGGACATATGACAAATTTGTGGGGATGCAGGTAAAAACATGTCATGCCCCAAATAGGTTTTGTCTTTTGTAAGACGGAGAAGTAAGAAGCGGTGGGTTTCAGTCTCCCAGGCATTATTCTGAATTCTAACCCTGTGACAGTTTCACCATCAAAGCCACACAGCGGGGAACCTGCTGTGAATGTGTGTGTGGCCCAGACTCAAGCTGCCTATAGTCTGGGTCAGCCCCTTGAACCTGGAGCAGTCATCAGCCCAAACTGGTAGCTTGTTAATGCTAATCAGTTTTCTCCTAGAAACAAATAGAATGTGAATTTAGCATTTCTAGGACTTCTCCTCTGCTGCAGATCAGAGACGAACTAAATTGTCTTTTCTTTTTCTTCCTCTATCAGTGTGCAACGTTCTGACTACTTGAATACGTTTGAGTTCATGGACAAACTCGGAGAAAATTTGAAGATAAAACTAGCTCAGGCCAAACTTTAAGATCATTCCTCAACTCAGGAGGACAAGTGTTTTTTGTTAACTACGTCCACTGGTTTACATTTTTCTGTATAACATTCAAGGGAAGGGCAGAATCAATTTTGTAATTTGTTTAGAAGTCAGAGTTTTATCTTTTCTATAAGTTTACAGCCTTTTTCTTATACATACAGTTATGCCACTTCAAGAATGTGGCTGGAGACTTTTTAAATTTAAATTTTATTTTCTACTAGTAGCTTAGGAATTACTTTAGTGCTGATTTGTACTCGCTGTCACTTTTTCTCATGTTCCGCTATAAATGACCAAAATGAAGAGCGCTTAAAAGGTACACTGTAGCCACGGTTTTGGTCCCTAAAATTGTGTAGAGTCAAAATTCACTCCCTTCCCCACTCTCCATGGCCTGGGCTCTGGGTGCTGTTGGTGTAACAGGCGTCCCATCATGTGAGGTCCTTGACTTGTGAGGTCCAGCTGCACCTTAAACTTGCCCAAGAATTGGAACGAAGAGCGTGGGTGCAACTAAAATGTGTTGAAGACACAGCAGTCATTTGTGCAAAGAGCTCTCACTGAATGTTTCGAAATGTTAAATGTTTCTGAAGCCGCTGCAGAGCTCAGAATCCAGAATAAGTCCTACCTGGGGTTTGTCCCCTGTGTTTGTCTTCCCTTCCTGGCCTTGTGTGGTCTCAGTATTATGTACCACCAACAGTGTGTTTTATTCAAGTGCAATAATACGAGCTGCACCTTTTTTGGACTTCTGGCCTGTTTTATGTCCTTCATATAAATGTGATTTTTCAGAAGTTGATTTTAAACACTATTCTGATCTGTTCTTTATCTGAACTGTTAATTTTAATTAAAATTAAGTGCTAATGACTAATCCGGGTTTTTATTTGTCGAGTGTACTTTGGTCGCCAGGCACCACGCCGGGTCTCATTTATAGGAACTTGATTTTGGAAAATCTCTGCCCTCAAGGAGTTTACGGTGGGGAAAATGGACAAGTAAACAGACAGTAAGATGTGGATCCTACCACGAAAAGGAAAGAAGACCAAAGCTAGAACAAAAGGGGTAACTGGAACATTAGGGAATCGACTCTATGCACATGCTAAGAAGTTTAGGTATTAATTATTATGTAAGTTAATAGGGAGCCAGTGAAGGTTTAACAAGGGAGGGACATGATCATATTTTCATTTAAAAAAAATAGCACTCTGGGCAGCTTTTTTTTTTTTTAAATATGTCTTTATTGATTTCAGAGAGAGAGGGGGAGAAGAAGAGAGAGAGAAATATCAACGATGAGAGAGTCATTGATGGGCTGCCTCCTGCATGCCCTCTACTGGGGATCGAGCCCACAACCCAGTCATGTGCCCCGACCGTGGGAATCGAACCAAGATCTCCTGGATCCTAGGCCGATGCTCAACTTGAGCCACACTGGTGGGGCTGGGCAGCTTTTGTGAAGAAGGAATAGTAGAGGGAGGGAGAGGAGCGGTGGGCACAGTTGAGGAAGGAAGACCAGTTATGAGGCTATTTTTGTATTTCTGGTCGGAAATGATGAAGAGCTGAACTGAACTCACAATGGCACTGAGAATGAAGACAATGGTATAGATCCTGAGAAAAGGAAAATGAGTTGATGGGGATTGGTGGGTCCCGGGAGATGTGGGATTGAGGGATGGGAACGAGTCAGCTTTCCCAAGTGTCCAACTGCACACCTGGAGAGAGGCTGGTCCACAACCCAGCGGTATCGGTGTGTTATGGGGAAGGAAATTGAGGCAGTGGGCAGAGCTCTGATCAAGCTTACACAACACATCAGCGGCTGTTTTGGCCTAGAACCCAGAGGTCTTTATAGCTGAGCTAGGGCTCTTTCTACTATACCTGTACATTTTCAGGTTTAAATGGAAGAAGAAAGCATCACATGGAACAAAAAGATGGCATTGGATTGGATGTTCTTCAGTAGGCCCTTTAGCGCTCACAAATACCCTGGGAATTGATCAGATGAGTTTTTGTGGCAGCAAAGCTCTGCTCCAATACTGGATTCAACATTTCTCCAAGAACCAGTGTTCTGAAATGGTCAGCAAATGAGCAGATGCTGACCAATGCATCTAGAGACAAATGGTTTATTGTGTAACAGCATCAGGATCGGAATTGTTGACCCGCAAAATGACTGCTGCTTAGCAGAACACTGAAGACAGCAGGATCCGGGGACAGGGAAGACCAGAGCTCTAGACTTAGAAATTCTCTAAATTGCAAGCACTGTTCCTTAAGTGGAATTTTTAACAAAATATTTAAAATTTAATCTTAGCAATTAGAATCACAGCTATGCTATATTCTTGCCTGATACATACAATTCTAAAATGCTCCTGACAAGTGACTTCCTATCCTCCATTTAAATATTTCTCTAAAAAAAGTATCCCCCAAATTAAGGGTCTTTTCCTGTTAAGAAGGAGATAAGATTAGAAACTAATATAAAAATATTAAGGGAGACAGTATTTATGTAAATACTGATTTAAAATTTGTACTTTTATCACTTCTCTATTAGAGGGTTTATTTCATTGTTCCTATTTTTAATATTAGGAAGAGTGTAGCACCCAAATTGCTAACTCCTCTGGAACAAGAAACCTGAACAACTGAATTTGGATGGTATCTCAGACTCTGAAAGGGGTAAATTTAGCAAACATTGTAGCGTTGTCCATAACATTTAATGTTATTTCAAATATACAGAAAAATTGTAAGAGTAGGATGGAGAAATCTTTATCAGTGTTTACCTTTTGCACCAGTTGTTATATAATTTCCTGTCTTCCTCTCCACACACACATACACAGCCTTTTTTTCCTTGGACCCTTTCAGAGTAATCTGAAGACATTGTGCCCTTTATCCCTAAGTAATCCGGTATATATTTCCTAAGGACATTCTCTTATATAACCATAAGACAATTATCAAAATAAGGAAATTTAACAAGTCCCTCAACTTGGGTTTGTCTGATGTTTCTTTGCAATTGGATTTCAAGTTTTGAGTTTTTGGAGGAAGTACTATTGAAGTGACTCAGTGTCCTCAGTGTATAATAGTGTGGAGAGGAAAGGACCTATAATGATGGTTTGTCTCCATGCTGGTGAAGTCAGCTTTGCTCATTCGGTTGAGGTGGTAACTGCTTTGCCTTCTGTGAATTCACTATTTTCCCCTTTGTAAACGTAAGTAACGTGGGGAGATGCTGTAAGTATACTGTTTGTCATCAAAATTCACCCATGTTTTAGCATCCATTGGCGATTTTATAACTCCATCAAACCTTCTATAGTTATATATTTTTAAAATACATTACATACTTATAATCTACTATAGAGAACAAGTTTCCCGTCTCTGCATTTATTTATTCACTCATGTTAGTATGGATTCAAGAGTTCTTGCTTTATCCAATGGGTTACACTATCATGTATTTTGAGGCTCAAATTGCCTTGAATTTCACCAGTGGGAAGGCATCAAGCTGGGTCCTGTCAGCATTATAACAAGAGTGTTTTGCAAGCAGTTAACTGGGTGAAGAAAAGGTACTACCTTGTATATTAGGCCGCCCAGTGCCAAGACTTAACTTTTCTTAAGTGAGGCAGTCTTCCTTTTCTACCAATAGAATGAATTCCTCCTTGCCTTCCTTTCCAGATTAGAGCCACTCCCCACCCCCACCCCCACCACCAGTGGCCCTGCAGAAGGTGATGGGAGACCGCCACAGGAGACTGGAGGCTTATCTAACAAGGTGGTGTTGGCATTAAAGGGCAGATCTGAGAAGCAAAGGAAGGTACTAGAGCGCTAGGAGCACTAGCCACTGATCCTCTGGAGAGATGAATATATCTGCTTTTAGTTTTTTATGGTTTACTGTGTCTATTTTATTTTACAATAAAAAGGTTAAAAATATATTAGGAGCCCTAGCCAGTTCTGCTTAGTGGGTAGAGCATCGGCCTGTGGACTGAAGTGTCCCTGGTTCAATTCCGGGCAAGAGCACGGACCTTGGTGGCAGGCTCAATCCCTGGCCCCCCCGGTCAGGGTGTGTGCAGGAGGCAACCAATCCATGTGTCTCTCTCACATGATGTTTTTTTCTCTCCCCCCCTCCCCCCGCCTTCTACTCTCTCTGAAAAGCAACGGAAAAAAATACCCTCGGGTTAGGATTAAAAAATATATATATTAGGAAATCTGTTTTGAATCCTTTGGGCTAATTGCAGAGGACCCCATTCTCCTGGATCAGATCCTGGGGCTTGCTCTCCAGCGTTGGTGTACCCCCCTGCAGAGCCTTTGGTTCACCTTTGATAAAGGGATCCAACTCCAGTCACGTTGTCTTTAACCTTTTCAAAATGCCCCCGTAATTTTACTTTGATTGTACACAAAGAAGTATGAGTAGAGATGCTTGAGGATCTTTAGTTGGCTCTTGGAACCTTCCTTCTCTCACTTGATGAATCTGTGACACTTTATTTTTAGACGTATTGGCTTTAAAGCTTTCATTGATTTCTTCATGGGAATTATTCTCTTCCTATTGTTTTGTCATGTGCATTATTTCTATGTTCAGAGACTAAGCTTCAATTCTAATATTCTAAAGCTACTCTCACCTATTTTTTAAAAAATATCTTTATTGATTTCAGAGAGAGGAAGGGAGAGGGAGAGAGAGAGAAACATCAGTGATCAGTCATTGATCGGCTGCCTTCTGCATGCCCCCCACTGGGGATCGAGCCCGCAACCCAGGCATGTGCCCTGACTGAGAATCGAATCTCGATCTCCTGGATCCTAGGTCGATACTCAACCACTGAGCCATGCCAGCAGGGCTACTCTCACCTGTTCAAAATTTTCCATATTTTCTGGTTATAAATACTCCATTCACTAGAATTATTCAGTTAGCTTTTTTCCAACCATGTTTCTATTTTTATTGTTTGAGATAGCCTGCATGCCATGCTGGTGACTTGTTTTTTCCTGCAAATTAATTACCATGCCTTGTACTATTCCATGAAAACCTACAACTTGGATCTTAGCCATGGTTTTTAATCTGTTTTTTCCATCTGGATCAAATTCTTCATATGAGGAGATATTTTTTTTCTTATATCTTTGAACACACTTCACCCAACAGATTTGAGCATGTCCTCTAATCCTGACACTCTTGGGATATCAGTGTCCCATAAGACCCACAACCTCTAGGTGAGGGTACTTTCTCTCACAAGTCAGCTACATCAGGTACTCAAATTGTACCAGTGCTAAGAACCAACAGCTTGGATGCTGAGTCATTGTGTTCTATGAGTCTTTACTATTATAATGGAAATGCCTTTCAGAATTTCTTTGGATTTAGCTTGGATCTCATTTTCCACAAATACATTCTCCAAATGCCCTACAGCTAGGGCTAGATAAACAACATCTCTATCTGTAGAGCACTTCAATCCCTGCCTTTTGCACAGGCATGACTAACTCACCTGGTTCAGCGATATGTGTTCCTTTTCCTCAGACAATTACTGGAAGAGTGGCAGGTCTGATGTGACCGCTTCACAAACTCCCAGCGGAACACAGGAGGAAGCTTAAGACACACCAAGGGATGGGATTTTCCTCGCACATACTTACTCCTAGTGCTCGTCTCCAAGCTGGGAAGCAGTTAGAGCTCACGTCTCCCTCTTCCCCCAGCAGCGCACTCACTAGGGACTGTGTGCAAAGAAGGGTCTTCAGATTTTATCATTTGCACCCCATGAACAACTGAATGAAATTCTAAGAGAAATTCAACTCCTGAAACTCCAAACCTATGCATTCATCCAAAAAATATTTCTTGAGGGTCCATCAGGAAACATGCTGTCCTAATGTCACCGCCGCAGCAGGGAGACGGAGCGAGCCAGGTTATGTTTCAGTGTTGTTTTGCGGTAACTCAGAGTTCGAACTGATGATGCAGAAACTGTCCCATTGTGTGTGTGTGTGTGTGTGCGCGTGTGTGTGTGCGTGTGTGTGTGTGTGTTTAGACCTCTGCTTTCCCCTCAGCATCCCCACCCCCATCCCACACATCAATTTTCTCTCTTGTTTCTTTCTGTCTAGGGATTAAGTATTGCAGACAAGGTTGACTGGGCTGAGTTAGCCATTGTGAATCCAGATTCCAAGGCAACCGCCAAAGAAAACATGCAGATCAGGGGCAAGGACCAGAACCTAAGGGTTAGGATTTGGCATTTTCCAAAGTCTGAAGTTCTAAGTGTTTTCCCAGCGCTGCCTGAGGGCTTCCGCAGCAGCACAGCCCTGCCCTGCCAGGCCACTGCAGGCCGCATCTTCCCTGGGTCTCTGACCAGGCACTAGTCCTTGAGCGAAATTCTGACTCCCTGAGGGTGGTGTCGGGACCCCAGGCTCCTTCTAGTCAATTCTGCTTCCCTTCTGCTGATTCTTCCAAAGGTGGTCTGCTGGCCCAACTCATAGGGACACTGACAATGACTATGGTCTCGAGGGAAGAGTAGGGTGATAAAGGATAATTAAAATAATAATAAACGGTGCAGTGAAAGGGGCCCTTAAAGATAATGTCATTTAGTACACTTTGTGCTAAAACTGAAAAGAAAAAAAAAAGAATGTCTTTTATCTACGTATTACACAATAGACTTCCAAAATAGCTCAAGTGTTATTCGAACATTTTCCATAAAAGAATGTTTTGACTGCAAGGAACAGATTAGTACCCACAAATACTTTTGGCTCTGAAGGGGGAAGGGATAACTTAATAGAACCATCATTTATATTTAGAGTGTACATTTACCCCACAGACAAACCAGAGGACAGAGGTCAGCCAAGGATGTGCTCAATATAGAAGTCACTCTATTGCCAAGTTCTACTCACAGTCTCTGGGGATAAGAAGGGATGAGTTATTTGGTGTCATTTTGGAATTGACCCAGAGCTAAATGGGCTATTCCATATCTCATTTGTCCTTTGATTATAACTTAGATACACAATAATAATAACTGAAGCTGCCCTGGTCACTGTGGCTCAGTTGGTTGGAGCATTGTCCCCTACACCAAAAGGTTGCAGGTTTGAATCCCAGTCAGGGCACATACCTAGGTTTCAGGGTCCACCCCAGTTGGGGCGCGTGTGGGAGGCAACTGATCGATGTTTCTGTCTCACATTGATGTTTCTCTTTCTCTCTCTCCCTTCCTCTCTCTAAAAAAAATCAATAAAAATCAATAATAATAATTGGTGCTAACATTTATTAACCTCATATAAACACTGCCCTAGATTCTTTGCTTAACTGCTTGCTGCACACTTGCGCCTTATGGTGCCAGTTCTATTATTTTTTTCATGTCATACATGAAGTAGAGCACAGAGGTACCCAGATCACATTGACGGTGCTCCGGTCATCTGTTGCTGCATAATGAATTATTTCAAAACGTAAGGGCTTTAAGCAACAATAATTACTTTATTGTTACCTCTCACTGTTCTAGACACTGGGCTCAGCTAGGCAGTTCTCGGGTAGTGATTCTCACTGGGGTCTCCCATGCAGTTGCAGTCAGACAATGGCTATGGCTGGAGTCATCGTGAATGTTTCCTCATATATCTGTTGGCTGGAACCCAGGTGGCACCCATGTGAACCCCACACATGACCTCCTCATGTGGCTTGGACTTCTTTATTGCATCACAGTTGGTCTCCAAAAGCAAGCATCCTAAGAGCAAGTAAAAGCTGTATCACCTTTTAAAAAACAAAACAAAATTTACTTTGAGTTAATTATAGACTAACAGGAAGCTGCTAATATAGTAAGAGAGATCAATATAACTGTAGACCAGTATCATAACCAGAAATTCACATTTGTACAATACTATTAACTAGACCAAGAATTTATTGTTTTACATGCACTCATTTGTGTGTGTGCATGTGTATGTGTGTGTTCTGTGCAATTTGATTCTGTGCAACATGATTCCATATTAAGATACATGTAATCACCACTGCAATCATCATACAAAACTGTCCCACAAAGGGACTCCCATGTGTTATCCCTCTGTAGTCATACCCACCCTCTCTATTCCCATACCCGTTTCCCTGACAACTACTCACCTGTTCTCCATCTTTATTGTTTTATCATTTCAAGAATGTTATATAAATGGAATCATAAGATATGTAACCTTTTGAGATTGGCTTTTTTCACTGCACAAAATGCCCTTCAGCGCCATCCAACTCACAGGTATTATTTGAGTAAGTCCTTGGCAACCAGGACTTAGCCAAGGGAATAAGGGGTGAAAAGAGAGAGCTGGCAAGCAGTGACCCCGGAGGTGGGAAGTGGTCACATAATGGGGGACTCCAAAGGAGGGAAGCACTGGAGTCAATGGATGAGTACTTGGCTGAGTTACCAGCTGCAACAGCCTCAGCTGGGTGGCGGGCTGGGGAGGCAGGGGTGAGCAAGCCTAACAAGGTCAAGGCTAACTTTCTCAGGGGTTGCCTTTGGGCAAGGAGCAAATTTTGAACAGGAACTTGTGGAAAATACAGAGGAGGCGTCACCAACACAGCAAACTGAAAAATACTATTAGTTTATTCTAATATTTATTTATAATTTAAAATAAATCATGTACAGCCACAAGGAAAGGCTGAATTGTCTTTCCAATATCTCTATAGAAAATAACATTACAAAATCTTTGTCATGTTAAGAGGTAATCAGAGTATGCAAGAAAAAAAGAATTTTAGGATGTGTCAACCTGTTAATAATGATACTGGGCTTTTTCTACATTTTTAATGTTCATTGTATTTGTTAGCTCTTTAAAATTTATAACTTGTGGTGATTAATGGTTCTAAGCAAACTTTCAATTTTGTGTTCACAATTTTTCATTCTTTTTCTTAAATCGTATGAAATTCAAATTGTATAAACTTCAGGCTCAACAAAACCTAGATGGAACCTTCTGGGTGCAATATAAATTCAGTGTGAAGTGAACAACTCACCTATAAAAATTCAAATCGGGAGTTTTGCTGTCACTCATAGAACACCTGAGATATCAGGTCACCAAGAGATTTGGTGGATGGAGAGAAGTGGAAATGAAGCCGAAGTGGCATTAATAACAGACACCCAGGCCTAGATGGGCCAGAATAACACACTGCCTCTGTCCAGGGGCATGGAGGAGACTCACTTACAGGCTATGGTTAAGAGTCTAGACCTCATTCTAAGAGCAACCGAAACCACCAGCAAGATTTAAGCAAGAAAGGAAGTGTTTATGATGGGAAGGCAAGCACCTGAGCAGGGGTTGCTTGCACCAAGGTGATGGTTCTGTGCCTATAGTCATCAAGTAGAATCACCCTAAATGCTTGGGGGCACTTTAAGTGTGGGGTCAGAAGTTCACTGGCTTCCCCAGAAATCCTTGCTCAGCCAGGTGACTCCTGGGTCTGCAGCCAAGTGCTATAAAAAACCCTGCGGGAGGTGGATTTCTCATGTCCTTTTTGCTTTCTGATTAATCATTTAGATGGTAAACTGAAACCTACTCAGGTAAATAAATAAATAAATAAATAAATAAATAAATAAATAAATAAATAAAATAAAATAAAAAATATATATGTGAACTCCAAGTTAGGATCACAATCCTGTCCCAAATATATGACTTTTTCCCTTCCCAGTTGGGGGATTGGGGGTGTATTTAAAAAACAAAATTATTTTCATTCATTCACCGTTTCCTAGCAACTGCAAAAAAAGCCTCTGCTTTCCTGCCGTCTGTGAGCACCAGCCTGAGCAGATGCTCAAGCATTCCTCCAGAAGCAGGGAGAGAACAAAAGCACAGGAATCGGTCTCTGGTTGGGGTTGGTGAGAGATTCTGAAAGGAATTTGTTAAGAGCTGGGCACCTAACAGAAAGTCTGAGACCCGTAGGGGTGCAGAGGGAGGCCTGAAGGGAGTGTGCAGATGTTCTTCAGGGCATGATATTCCTATAGAATATGGGGGCTGTGCCTTCTGGGGGGTTGGTTTTAACGAAATAGCTAATGCCTGAGACCCCTGACATCTTTCCAGTAGCTCTTTTGTGTGTATTTCCAGCCAGTCTTGTTCCTGTTAAAGCTCTATAGACAGAAAAGAAGGGTGAATTCAAATCTAAGCTGAATAGAGTCTCTACAAATGGCCCTCTTTCAACCAAGAGTAGCTACTCAGTGCATGTCAGTCACTGAACTTGACAGCTGGAAGGGACCTCTCCAACCATTCAATGCTTCTTTTACAGGAAACACAAAACACAGAGAGGAGAGTTCACTTACCCAACATGACACAGCTAGTTGGTAGTCTCCCAGGGTCTCAGAACCTCCAGCCCAGTGCTGTGGGGGCGGGAAATGCTCATATTTTAAAGATTTAAACCTTTGCATATTATGCCACATTAACGGTAGGGGGGAAGGAAGGTAGGTCTAAGTAGAAGCTATCACAGCACCAAAAGATGCAAACCTATAATTTGTAAGCCTGAAATTCAAAGGACTGGCTCAGAATGACAAAAAAAGGGGGGAGGGGGGAGTTAAAACAAATACTAAGTCTTTTGCTTTTTAAAAAGGCATAGAAGTTAAGTGAGCTCCCCTTCAACACACACACACCACCACTGCCACCAGTCAAGCAACTGAGGTAGGACAAGTGTTCTACCAACAAATGTTTTTCAACTTAATTAAAAGAATGGTAATACATGCTAGCCTTTGTGGAGTTGTATAATATTAGGGCAAGAGGTGCTCTTGGTGATGTTAACCAGGCTCATCATTTTTTAGAAAACACCTAAGGCTGGGGTGCAGAAGAGCCAAGAGGCTTGGCCATGGCCACACCAGTCAATGGTGCAGGAGACACTATAGCCCAGCATCTGGCCATCCCATGTCTAGTGCTTTTTTTTCTCTAGGTCATGAGGCCACCTCTCTGGCTTGCGGTACCCTCTCTGGATTTACTCTCCTGCAGAGTACATATTACTATCTTAATTATTAACTTACTTCCAATGGAATGCTCCTTTCTTTCCCCCTTCACCTTTCCCATATCCCATCTGAGGCAGATGTAGCAACAGCAAGAATGGGCTAAAATAATTAAATTGGTCTGGTAAAGAATTCATTTAAATCAGTGGCATTCTGCCCAGCCAGTTGCAGCTCAGTGGTTGAGCGTCTACCTAGGATCCAGGCGATTGGGTTTCGATTCCTGGTCAGGGCACATGCCCGGGTTGCGGGCTCCATCCCCAGTCGAGGGCATGCGGGAGGCAGCGGATCAGTGACTCTCTCATCATTGATGTTTCTATCTCTCTCTCTCCTTCTCCTTTCCTCTCTCTGAAATCAATAAAGATATATTTAAAACAAATAAATAAATAAATCAGTGGCATTCTGTTTCTCTTCTGCTTATTATAGAAGTGCTGAATCAAATGAAGCTTAATGTCTATATTAGCAGCCAAACTGCACCAGAATTGGATCTTGGTTCAGCAACCTCGGTACTTGAGTACCGGCTAGGAAAGAATTCAGAGCCAAGACTCAAACTATAAGAGAAAATATATTTAGAAAGTAACAGAGGTAGAATAAGTGAGCTGTAGAAGAAATGGGCTCAGGAAACAAGTTACAAAGGAAAAAGAACGGGCCTTGGAGCTAGGTAAAAGAGAGAAACAAGGAAAATGCAGCTGGGGAAAGGGAGTGGGGAAAGGCATGGATGTGCTCCATAGAGAGAGTTGCACTGGGTCCTCTGTCTTGAGGGTGTTTATCTGGAGGCCTTATGGAAGGATCCCAAGAGTATATTCATCAGTTTTCCAGATATGTTCTTTCAGGATCATGGTCTCTACTGATTGGTTGGCACCAGGGCAGGGTGAGTCATTAATCAGTGCAGCTAGTCCTGATGTAGCCACTTCGTCACTTGTCTCGTTTTGCTGCTTTTCTGGGCCTGGAGATGAAACACAACTGAGGCCTAGGTGTATTTGATGCGGGTCAGACCTCATTGTCCTGGGGGCTTAATGATTAAGGGCTATTCTTCAGCCCCGTCGTTTGTTCCCCCTCTAACGGACCTAACCCACATGACTAACAACATGCCAGAGGAGGAGAGGTCAGGGGAGGGTTCAAGCCAAATGATCAGTGATATGAAAGGTCAGGGGATCTAAACTGCATGACCAGCAATATGCTAGGAGAGGAAAGGTTACCCTGGGGGTGAGGTCCTTGTTTTCCCAGTTTTGCCCATTGCTAGGCACCTGGGGCTCTCTGGCCTGGTGAATTTCTGTACCTGGCCGGTCCTCCTTCCTCTGCTCATGTCTGTCTAACTGCTATCTAAACACCTACCACATTTATATGCTACAATTTTTAAAAAAGGTTTCTAAAGTTTTTTCCCAACCATTTTTAGAGTAATGATTTAAAAACATATATGCATAATTTCAAAAGTACAGAATATAATATAATGAACATCCATAAATTTATAATCCCAGAGTCAACAAAGTTAACGTTTTTATTATATTTGTGGATTAGACAGGGTTCTCCAGAGAAACAGAACCAATAGGATGTATATATATATACATAGAGATTTAGTTTAAGGAATTGGCTAACATGATTGTGGAGGCTTGGCCAGTCCAAAATCTGATGGGGTTAGGCTGGCAGGCTGGAGACTCAAGGAAGAGTTGCAACTCAGGTCCAAAGGCAGTCTGCTGGCAAAATTCCTTCTTGCTTGGGAGAGGTCAGCCTTTGTGTTTTTAAGGCCTTCAACTGATTGAATGAGGCCCACCCACATAATGGAGAGTAATCTGCTTTACTGAAGTCCACTGAGTTAAATGTTAATATCCATAAAACACTTTCATAGAAACACTCAGAATGTTTGACTGAATATCTGAGCACAATGGCCCAGCCAAGTTGACACATTACATTAATCAACACAATTCACTTTAAATCTTTTTTAAGAAATAAAACATTGCAGCTATAACTGATATGCCATTTATACTGCTCCCTGGGCACCCCACTCGATAGTGATAATTTTTTGGTAAGCTTCTTTTTGTGACTTCAGAACCCTTTGACGCCATCACCTGAACTCCAATTTCTGGTTCAATGTTGAGGTAGGAACTGAAGACATGGCCTCACATTTGCCATAACCACTTGTTCTTTCAAGGCCATAAGAAGTTGAACGTGGCTTCTATAGAAAACTCTATTGTGAGCCGCTGCACCGGGGTGAATTCACTGGGAGTTGCTAGGTTGAATGTGCACAGAGCTCAAAAATATTCAGATCACAAACCATCCACGTTTGGTGGTTCTCCCCAAATAGTTTCATCTGCTGCTATACAAGCCATGTCTGTTTTACCTGCTAGCTCATTGCAAGGGTAAGTAAATGATGAATGTTGAAAAAACAAGGAAGGAATAAGTGTCAGATAAACTCAAGGTACTGTGCACTGGCTTCCAGACAGCTTTCTGGCCTGGAACCTGCTGGATAAGAGGCCTGAGCTCTGCACATTCTCGGATCCCTTCCAGAGCCTGGGACTCCATGACTGGTATTTGGAGTGATATCATCCCTAACTCAAATTCTCCCTGATTTGCTGCTGTAGCTTGTAGGCTCAGAGAGGCTGTGTCTTCGCAACAGATATCAGGTGCAGTATAAGCTGCAGCTACCTGCTCAGCCGGATAAGCCTTTAATCATGGAAAGAAGGCTCCTAAAGAAGGAAATGAAAAAGCTCCTGTAAGTATGATTGAGAATAACTTTCACTTATTATACTCAGCATTTGGTGGGTTCCATGTCATAGACGGTCTGATATTGGCAGGAAGGTAAACATCTAAGGAAGATTTTATTCGTGTACTATCGGAAAAAAGCCAGATGATCTGGCCTCTGTCTCCGGCCCAGGAGGCCTCACATGTGGTGCAAAGCCAGATGCTGAATCTCTTGGGAGGATGTTTCTGCCAGCAGCGTGCTCATCCGAGGCATCCCTGTTCCAGAGCCTGAGATCTGGGGCCACAGCCCAGTCAGCCTGTGCTGGGCAGGGTGTGCCTTGAGGGGGCTCTGCTGGACAAAGATATAGGGGAGAGTTCTAAAAAATGTGCCCAAGGGCCCAGCATTTAAATTGCAGCCTCTGCCTCTTTTATTGTCAGTCCCATCAACTCAATAATTCATCTCCTTTTTCTTGCCATCTGAACTTTTATTTTTAAACAAAGAAAATATTAAGTTCTCCCTATGGAAAATTTTTTTCTCCTGTGCTGGCTTTTCTTTGACTTGGCATTTTGTTAAGAGGTTGGTGAAAACAGCAGACCACATACGAAGGAGGGGGGAAAAGGCTATGTTCTATTTCATATGTATTATAGGCACAATAATACCCTTTTCATCAAAAAGCTTATCACAATCCCCATCAAATGCCTCTCTCAGCCTATTAAGGTAATAATCTCTTAACAAGCCCTTAAGAAACGCTGGGATAAACTATGTATGAATTCACACGTGTTTGGAGGCCAAACTAATAAAGAACAGAGATAATCAGGAATGCCAATACCTCCACATAGAGCTGGAACTTCAAAAGTGATACAAATGTAATTTTATAGCCAAAGAATACATTTAGGGCACTTTAAAAAAAGTACCTTGGAATTCCAAAGAAAAAACTTGAGGATTTTTGTCAGTCTAAGCTTAATGAATCAAAAGTGTTTTAGAAGGCAGAGACAGACCATCCCTCACAAGATTACTTGCCCAAAGTGTGTGGCAAAGATCTTGACAACCAGGAGTGTGGCCTTATGAAGAGATGAGAGATTTGTGGAGATGGACCTCAGAGACCCCGAGATGCTGCATCCAGTTCCTCTTCCTGACTTTCCCAGAATAGCACCCACTTCCATTCTCCTTCCAGGGCCCTTATCCTATCCTCACCTTCTCAAAAATCACTGTTCTGGAAGGAGCTGATCAGGATACACTAAACTGGAATTACTAATATATTTTTATGCATAACTCCTCCTAAGGGTATTTGCATTCTAACAAGAAAAAGCCTTTGGGCAAAAGAACACATCTGTATGGAATATCATATATGTAAAATTTATCAGCCTTGGACTTTCTGCCTGAGTTTAACATGAGCAGCAAGGGAAGCTTTATTTTGAACAGTGGGTCTCAATCCTTTTGTTTTTAAGAAACCTTTCCTGCACGTGGGAATTTATCATACTCCCTGCTTTCCTATAAATTCTGTGCCCCTATGTGAGTTTAATTTTTAGACATGTGTGGTTTAAGTTCATTATGGTTAGACAGTTTAAGCCTGCAGCATTGCAGAGCTGCATCTTGAATCAAAATAGTGTTATTTTGGTAATGGAGTAGCCAAATAATTCTCTCTATAAAAAGAGGGAAATATGAACTCGGCTCCCAGAGCCATCAGCGACTG